TATAATGTGAAGTCCAAATTATTTATAGTCAAGCATTATTATTCAAAAACATAATAGATTTTTTGAAAATATTTTTTATTTTATAATATCAAACGATAAATTAAATTTAACTAATAATTAACATCCTTAATAATTAGAATACCTTGTCTGAAAATTTGATTAAAGAATCAAGAAGGTTGCGTAGGAATCTATTTACACAAGGAGATACACGACATTTATCTGACAAAGATTTTCAAAATTATAAATCAGCGTCAATAAATAATTGTATAAGAAGTGAAGCAGATCTTATTTCACCAGTACCTAATGATATTGATGGAGTTGTCGACTTGGACGTTTTGAAGAATTTAAAAAACTTTAGTTTTACGATTAAGGATTTAGAAGAAAGAATCTTAGAATTAACAGCAACACCTACTGGTCGAATGATAAGGTATTAGTCAAATATCATATACCCGATATCTGTATGATATATTATGTATAGTAATCTGATATGCCAATGATCTGCATTTCCAATACCTCACCAATGTTTGGAAGGTATAATTCGATATAATATGCCAATCGGGTTATTATATATCATATAAATATCATATAAATATTATACACATATTGGTATCCCGATACCTCAATGATGTATTATGTATTATATTATGATATCTCATATTATATTCGATATTTCAATGATACTATATTTATTATCGGTATATCAATTTATATATACAATATACAAAATTCAAAATATAATTCCGCTAAATAAAAATATATTGAAATACATTTATCATTTATATATTATATATACTAATTTCCTTTTACTTTTTTTGCTTTTCTTTATTACTCTTTTTTAATCTTTTATTTAATTTTTCCTCTACCCTTCTGTTTATTTCTTCCTCTATTTTCCTTCTATTTAATTCCTCTTCATTAGGTTCCTCTGCTTCTTTTTCCCTTCGTTCTTCTTCTTTTTGCCTTCGTTCTTCTTCCTTTTGCCTTTGTTCTTCTTTTTCCATTTGTTCTTTGTATTCCTTTTGCCTTCGTTCTTCATATTCCTTTTGCTTTCATTCTTCATACTCTTTTTGCCGTTATTCTTCGTCTTCTTCATCTTCATCTCCCTCTGGCCCCGGATCTGGATCTTGAAATATTTCTTCTTTCTCCATCTGATAAATTAACGATATTATCCAGTACAGAGCATCTTCTGGCGGTTTTGAATTATCTTTATGAACACTATCGTCAAACTATCTTTTGCGATGGACTTTATGTGCTGGATGCTGAATCCAACATGATCAGCCTGATGAAGGATTTTCTTGACCTATAATAATAACGTGTGAGCAAATTTAAAGATTAGATAATTAATATATAATTTTCATACCCTTCTAGATCTCCAGAGTTTATCGTATACTCATATTACATGAAAGTTTTCTGATTCAGCCTTATTTTTTGGCCTGATATTTTCTCTAGTTTCCTCTTGTGCTTTCTCAATGTCGGTCTCTGATACTTCATCAGAATGATAGTGAGAGTTATCAATAATTTCTGCAATATCTTCTTTGAAGGTCTCCTCCGGTAAACTTTGGGGTCGCAAAGAGACTAAGTTTTCATCATTCATATTGTACATGTATGAGATACCTCGTTTTCTTCTTTCTTTTTTCTGAATAATAAATAAGTTAAGACCTGTAAGCAATCCAATATAATAAAAACAAAAATACATACATCGGCACGTTGTGAGTTCGTCCCTTTTCATTTTTTGTCTAATTTTAGTTTCATTTCATCTTGCGCGATTTGCCAACTATCGCGCTGATGGCAATGCAATGTTTGCAATATGTATTTAAGTTCTGCTTGCTTGTAAATCATCCTACCGGTTAGGGCTTGATTGACCGCTGGCATAATGTCTTTAAAAACATGATCACAAATATCATTCCATTTTTGCGTATGGTCAATCGACAGAAAATTATCAAACCCTCTGAGAATTTGTATGACTTCATCCTAAATTTACAGAATAAAATAAAATAAAAGATAATTTAGTAAGTTCGTAACAAATATATACAAATTGGAAAAGGTCATGATACTCTAAAATTCTTGAATTGTTCATTATTCATTTTCTCGAGTAGAATACGTCTTGAATCATAACCACCAGGTGGTACTGGTGTTACTGAAGCAGCTCTTAGCGAGGATCTAGAGAACTGCGAATTGGCTTTTAAATTTTTAACTTCCTTGACTAGATAGTCGAGGGTATTTCGAATTGATGCGAGTTCTATCATATATGTTAAAATGTAAAATGTATAAACTTATCAAAAATATCTCGTGAATTATTAATTAAACCAATGCATTATACCATTTTGTTCTAAACTTTTACCAGAACTTCTACCAGAACTTCTACCGCGGTGTTTCAAACTTCAGCCGCGATGCGAGCTAGGACTTTGGCTAAAACGATCTAAACTTGAGCAATTATGTCGATACGGAGGACTTCGGCTGTGTTCATATGTTTGGCAGATTTGGCGTTCTGAACTACGATAGTCCTAGCATTCCGAACTGTACCTGCGGTACCTTCCTTTATCACTACAGTGAGATACAGAACATCTTTTTGGGGTTGTTGTGATTTGAAAGGGCTTTTGACGCATAGTATTGAAGTTAATAAACGTTAAATAATAATTTTTCTTTTATATAAGTGAAAATTAGTATTTTTCACTCTTTTAAATTTCATAATGTACTATTTATTAGAATAAATGAGTTCACGGAATCAGATAGAAGTTTTTAGTATTGCGATTTTTTTTTAAAAAAAAGTCGCGAAGAAACAATCATAGGCAAATCGCACCTTTATATACTTCATCTTATATAATGTGAGAAACTTTTAAATTTCTTATTATTACGCGTATTACGCGTTGAAATAATTAGTTTGTGACTGATTTTATTATTAAGATATTTAATATATTTTAGTTCAATTAATTGATTTTACTTTTATAAATAAACTTAAAGTTATTAAAAGTTTCGTTAAACTTTAGTTTACAATAATTACAATGGTCAGACGTAAATCGAAAAAATCTTTTGTAGAGAATACGTCCGAACTTTCGAAAAAGATGCGTTATACAAAAACTTTCGGTACTCCTAAATCAAGTACAAGACGACATGTGACATGCGATTGTAATTTATGTAAAGGTCGTAAAGTTGATCCACGTACAAAAAAATTGCATATGAAAAAAAGAGAATTACCAATAAGAGGGAATCTTCTAATATAGTGGTCAAGGAAAGTGCAAACCAAATAAATGTTTCAGATGATTCTGTAGATGTAGATATCGGTGGTGTTGATAGTGAAAATAATGATTCTAGCGGTGAAGAAGAATTTAATTTTCTTGTTACGAAGCTGAAAAAACACAATTTAGTCATAGTAGAATTGATTTTCCATTGGCTGTAACCGAACAGTATAATAGTGATGAAGACCGAAATGTCAATGAAGACATATATTCTAGTAATGACGATAACGATTCTCTAGGATAACATATTGACTTTGATGTGCCAGAATCCGGTTACGATGATAAAGATTTTGATGTACACAATGCAGATATTAATCAAGGATTTACGTGGATCGTATATTGGATCTTTAAATTTCAAGAGAGAAATCGGTTGTCTGATACGGCCACCAACGCTCTTATAAAATTTATGAGATATTTGTTGGTCTTGATTGATACAGATTCATATTCAAAGTTCCCGATATTTTTATATATGACATGCAAATTATTTGGTATCAGTGATCAAATAATCAAATATGCAACTTGCAAAAAATGCTGCAAATTATATGCGGTAAAAGATCTGCCAGCCGATAGACCCTATCATTATACGTTTCAAGATTACCCAAATCATCCGATGACCAGCTTAAGATTCCCTTGTAATGATATCGTTACAAAGCAGATACCTACGAACAAAGGTATAATATATCGGCTGTTACTAATTTTTCCCATCGCTAATATTAAATAAAGACTGCGTCAATTATACAATATGAAGGGATTTGAGGAGTCATGTAGAAAGTGTGCAGATCGACCGAATAATAATCAGGAATTAGTAGATATATACGACAGGAGAATTTGGAAAACATTCAAAGATTCGAATAATAATCAATCATTTTTCAGACATGAGGTACCAGATTGTCATTTGGGAATCATGTTGAACCTTGATTGGTTCTAACCCTTTGACAATTCACAATATAGTGTAGGGGTGGTATATGCAGTTATATGCAACCTTCCAAGAAGCGAAAGATTTAAACCTTCAAATATCATTACCATTACGATTATTCTAGGTCCTAATGAACCAAAACTACATTGATTAAATCATTATTTGGCACCAATAATTGATCAATTTATTGCGCTATGGGAAGGTTTTAAATTAGACAAAACATATGAAAGTTCTATCGGCAAATTTATACGAGCAGCAATAATATGTTACATGTGTGACATTCCAGATACAAGAAATCTTTGCGGTCATATATCTGCACGTGTGGCTTGTCATAAGTGCCAAAAAGTAGCTGATTTTACTATCAGAAATCAGCCGAACTTTGGCAGATTTGATGATATGGAATAATAGTTTATGAAAAGGAATGTTGAGAAAGTAAAAAACAACGCAACTTTATGGAAAGATTGCAACACAGAAGATACTCGAAAAAAGCATGTATCTGAAACTTTAGTACGTTAGTCAGAAATATACTGACTTCCGTATTTCGATCCCGTTGGGTTCCTCATCATTGATCCTATGTATTACCTATTTTTAGGCATTGCTAAATGGATTGTTATGTGATTATGGATCGAAGAGGGTCGACTAACATCGAAATATATGAAAACTATGCAAGAACGGGCAAATAAGATGAATTTACCATCAGATATCGGCAGAATCCCAAATAAAATAACAACAGGTGAAGGTTTTTCGGGATTCACTGCCGACTAATGGAAAACCTTTATGCTTGTCTATGCTACTACTATCACATAGGATTTACTTTTGGATGATGATAGAAAAATCTTAAGTTATTTTGTACGAGCATGCAACATTCTCGTATGTCGTATTATTTCAAAATCAGGGTTAGAAGAAGCCTATCAATGCCTTCTATCCATGGTAATGCTGGTTGAAAAGAGTTATGGATCAAAAAAAATAACTCCAAATATGCATTTATGTTTGCATATATGTGAATGCACTTTTGACTACAGCCCGATATATGCATTTTGGTGTTATAGTTTTGAACGAATGAATGGTCTATTAGGTAATATATTATGAGCTGATATTTTTTATTATTTTTATTATTTCTAAAATTTAACTAGAATTTTTTTTCTATCAGGTTCTTTACATAGTAGTAAACGACATATAGAGCCAGAATTACTTAAAATTGTTCAACGTTATGTTTTTCTTGATGAGCTATCAACATACGCCAATGGTAACCAACACCTTTCGGAATGCTTGTCCTATATTGCTTTTAAAGAAACAGTCGGTAGCCTTGCTGCTCATAACGATTTTGATTTGAAAAAGTACTTCGAATTTTTATCAATAGTAAAAGATATAAAAGATAAAGCAGGAGTAGGTTCAGAAGCTTTTCCGGGAATACTACTTAAACTAACAAAACAAGTGGATTTACTGTCAGAAGTGTTAGAATTATTGGTCAAGTACTATCAAAGCGCATATGATTGTTCTTTCATATCATTATCAAATATTCATAATTCAACATCAGATTCAAGAGTAGTATTACCGAAAGTAAAATATTTCGGTAGATTAAGAATAGGAGCTGAAGTCATTGGTTCAACATATTCGGTAAGACATATCAGGTCGGTAAACATATTATCGCAATTTGTCTTAGACGATAATAATACAATTGATATCTATTCCAGCCAAGTTCAGTTCTTTTTTGAATACACAGTACAATTACTGGATGATGAAACAACGCATGCACTAGCATATGTAAGATAGTACAAGCAAATAGATGATCGAATGAGTTGATTTCATTGTCAAATCAATGACAATTTGAAAATTTGTAACATAGAATTGTGGAAAAAGGATTTTTATGAATTAGATCGCGATTGTATCATCCCAATTCACAGCATCTTAGGACGATTTGTTGGTAGAGTAATGAAAATTGGCAAAAAACATCTTAGAGAGTATTTGTCAGTAATTCTGATAAATCGGAAGATTTATATATAAATTATTAAACAATTAAAAATTCGATATCTCTTTCTCTCTTTTTATGTAACAATAGTGTAATAATCATCTGTTCCAAAAGTTTATAAATATATCATGAAATCTTTTCTTTCTTTATTTTTCTTTATTTTTCGCGTAAGTGATTTTTACTAATAAATTACCATAATGGCTTACCGATAGGTCAATAATAAATATATTTTACTGATATGCCTTTATAAGTATCGAATGAATATCAAATTGTTATCATATAAATATCATTGACCTATCAGATTACTAATAGGTTCAGTATATTTTTCAAATATTTTACGATATGTCTTTAAAAAATCAGTATATAGTTAATAGAAATCATTGCCATATCAGTTTAATGACATATGCATGATTTTTAATATAGTCTATCATGCCATATTGGATTTATGATATGTTACCGATACTTCATGACTTGTTATGACCTGATACCTCATCATTTAACCTGTGTTATTATAATACAAAATATAGTAGTTAATTATTAAGAAAACTGATTCTTTTTATTGTATTTTATTAAATTTTATTTAGATTAATTAATGTATAATTATAAGATTTAATTTATTATAAATAAAATTTATAAATTATAATTACCTAATATAAAATTAAATTTATTACTTATAATAAGAATTGTAAATTATAATAAATTATTTTTTTTTTTATAAATTAAAAATTATTTTTAATATTAAATAATTAGTTTTAAAATATAGATTAATATTATTGAATTTTTACTAAAATAAAAAAAGGTTAAAATATTATTAGAATAAAAATATTATTTATTATAATAATATATATATTTTTCTTTATCAATAAAGAGATGTAGTTTAATTATTAAATATCAAAGAGTAGTATTTAAATTATAATATTATAATATATTGTGATATATAAGTTGTAAATTTTATAATAATTATGATATTTATCTTTATTTAAAATACAAAAGTTAAAATGTAAAAAAAATTTAATAGAAGATTTTGAAGCAATTTTCTTTATTAAAAAATAAGAGACTTAAACTAATATTAATAAGTAGAGAAGCTTTAGTCTATTATCATTTAAAAAAATAAATTTTATAATAATATTCATTAGTAACTAATTTATTTTTAAATTTATCTAGTTTTTTTTTTATTTAGTTTATTTTTAGTTTTTATTATAAACTAATTTTTAAATAAACAAATTTCTTTAATTATCTTGTAATTAATTTTAAAAATAGTTAAATAACTAAATACGTTGATTGGCTAAAACTTTATGATGATAAATAATTCTGCTGATTGTTATTTCGTGTCATGTGTATAATTGTTACACAATAAATGAATTTATTGTTTATATGGGTTGATTGCTAGGAAAATCAGGTTCCGGGAATTTTTTAGCGAAATTGAGATTTTTATTGCATTTTAGTTTTTGATGTTATTAGATTAAAATGTATTAAGCTCTTAATTTTAGTCAAAAATTTCTCGGAACCTGATTTTCCTAGAAACACTCCCATATAATAAGACTAATAATGATTTTCTAAATTTAAATAAATTAAATAATCAATACCAAGGGGTTGAGGGAAATTTAAAAAACAAGTTTGGTTTTTTTTTTTAATTATACATGCAGGTCCAAAATTTTTCGGTTTTGTAATATTTTAACATCAAAAATATTTATATTTTCTAATAAAATAATTTCTCTTATTTCGTCCCATTTAGACCTATTAATAAAAGAAATTTCATTTTTTCTTATAATAGCACTTAATATTTTTAAAAATTTTGGATAAATTCCCGTAACTGCATTTTTAATTCAAAAAAAGTTGTGACATGTGAAAGAATTTGTTTACCGTCCTTTTTTTTTTTTTTTTATTATTAAAATTTATATTTTTAAACACAAGCTAGATATCGAAAGTCGAACAATTTTTTTTAAAAAAAAAGCATAAACAGTTTTTTCATAGCATAATGTTGCTTGTAAAAAAAAAAACTATATGATTAAATTAATAAAAGAATGAAAATTTAATATTTTTTCCTATAAAGTACACATTGGTTACATTGGTTATCTACACATTTAACACTAGTAAGAATAAATTCGGTCAAAGATTATGATGAATTAAGCACTAAACCGGTTAAGAATTTAATTATACTTCAAAAAAAGGAAAATGTGGATCATTTTAAACAATTTATTGTGGAGAAAATTTTGGTGGAATGGCATCAGTCAAGTGACCAACAAAAATTACGTCATGATTTTTGCCATTGCTACACAGGAGTCAAGTCAATGCGCAGCAGCACACACCACTTGAACGGAAAATTTTTTTATTTATTTGTAATGGGAAATTGTTATGTACTTGAACGGAAACTTCCAATTTTCTACACTTCTACATGGTGAACAATGGGGAGATGCGAGGTAATCATGATTAGAGAGGCTTATTGGAGTTTTTTGCGAATATGTATTGACATATTCGTTGGAAGTTTCTGTTACATCAAAATAATATACCATACCTAATTGATTGTACAAATAAACTTTTTTTGTTATGTTAATTATAATCATCAATGAACAATGTTTATATCCCTTAAACTCATCAAAATATCACTGTGACAATTCTTTTTTCGTTTAATGCTTTCTCGGTTTTACTGCGGAACGAAAATTTGCTGCGTCGTAATTAATTTTATGACATGGTACACAACACAACTCACTTTTTGTCAACACACAATCTCTATGTAAGAATCTTTGATGCGAGTAATCTCAATCTCGGTTTCACTCCACAGCCTATTATCGGCGTTACATCAAAAAAATTTTTGGAGTTAATCTTTATCTGATCTTTATTAAATCAATGTAACCTACTTACAATTCGATATGGACAGCCTGCTAGTAGCAGAAAATATGATTTGCTAAGTTTTGTAACTTGATTTTTAATGCAAACGCCCCATCTTCCAAAGTAAGAACAAAATTGGTCAATTATTCTTTCTTTGAATCCTATTTTGTCGTTATGCAGGATTTGCTCATAGTACTGTTGCTTGAAGTCCCATAAGAAGAAAAAAAAAAAAAATAAAAATAAAAATAAAAAAAGAATAAAAAAAAAATAAAAAATAAAAATAAAAAAAGAATAAAAAAAAAATAAAAAATAAAAATAAAAAAAGAATAAAAAAAAATAAAATCTCAATTAAATTATGCAAGTCTTCGGAGCTCAAAGTTGCAAGCTCGGGGATAACAATTGATCTTTAGGTACATTATTGTGTGAGTGATTCACAATATCCATGAATGCGGTTGAAGGTGATGCGACCCATTTGAACACTGCATGAAAATCAATAAAAGATCTTTTTGGTGGTGACGATATTTTTTTTTTTATTTTGAAGACTGCGAACGGTCTAACCAAACTCTTGATAATCCAACTATTAAATTTATCATTAAAGAATATCCTTTTTTAGCCCATTGAAATTTTTGATTTTAAATCACATATGAATGTTTCAGCAATTTCTGGGTAAGGATTCCATTTATGTAAATCAAATAAATTCATTTACTTGATCTAATAATAGGAATAATAAAAAAAAAAATAATAAATAATTATTTTAGTAATTTTATTTCAATAGCAAAGCTCTGCAAAGATAACCTTTTAAAATGAGATTTATTTTCGTCATAGTCAATTCTCCTTGGTTATTTCACTTTGTCATGTCGCTTTGCTATGCATTCCACATGACGATCTAAGCTCACCTATTACCTTGATGATGGATAAAAATAGTAATATTTTTTGAAACAAACATAAGCTAAAATCTATTAATAAATTTAAACATCCTGTTGTGTAAATTAATTCTTTGACTAGTTATATAAGAATTTTATATTTCTAAAGAAAAAGATTACCGGTATATTTAAAAATAATGAATCAGATCACAAATCAAAGACGTCAAGAACTTGAAACTAACAAACCATTTTCAAAAGAAGGGAATATCATCATCACACCGCACGAGAAAAGTTGGAGGCTTCAAAGGGAATAAAGATCATTCGTTTTGATATTGTACTAAAGTAACGGATGATTCATTTAAATATTACTCTTTTTAACCTTCATTTAAAATTTTGATCATGAAAATCATTTCTAAAAAAATCATTCTCCAAACTTCCACCAACAAATTTCACGGGTATAACTCGATAAGAATAAGCTTTTATTTTATTTTATTTTTTTTTTTTCAAATGAAGGAATAACCGTGCACAAAAAAAACAAAAAAGAAAGATAAAGAAAGCATTGTACATCATGCAATAAAAAAACAACAGGCCACAATGTACGCCAAGACAAACAAATTTATTTACTTTACTATATACTACTACAATTATTTAAATGCTTTAATGGCAATACGTTTAATATTTGTTAAGATTAAAATAGAAATCGTAAATAACCTGATTGGAAAGAAAAAAATTCTACGCCTGCACGACGCGCATACATTGGCCTTAAAGAGAAATCATCCAGACTGCGGTTAATAATTAACCAGGGAAGGAGGATGGATGCTGGTCTAAAAATGGAGACCCGAAATTAGTGGGAAGATGTCACCATGTATTTTTTGTTTTTCCAAAGTAGTTTAGGAGGTCTTAAAGAAGATAGATTTTTTTTTTTTTTATGATTTATTTTAAAAAAGGTTCGATTCATGACTTTATGCTGATCATATCCACATGCCCGAGATGAACTTGTCTGATATATTTAAGATAGAGTAATCTTTAAACTAGAATCAAAACGTAACATGTATATTTATTTGTTATTCAATGTAAAAAATTTTTTTTCGTTATTTTTTTTTTTTTTTCCTTTCCTTTATTCTTCCTGAAATATTATCATATTAGTTCTAATAAGGTAAAAAATCAATTTGTACTCTTTTTTTTTTATCAAAAAGATTTTAGACGTCAAATTTCCATAAAAGGTCAAGTGGTGATACCCCTGCAGAGTGATCTCGGTGTAAGTCTTGGCAAGTATATAAAAAAAAAATTAAATTTTGTTTAGTTCTACATATATTGTAAATTTCGTTAGGTACATAATGTGATCATAATTCAAATAGAACCTGTCCTTATCGCATGGTTGGTCAAATTTGGAAGTTACAAATTTAGTTAAAATTAAATTTGTTATAAAAAGGACAAAATCTCTCTAAAATTTGTTTTCTTACTCTTGAGCAAATCTTGCAATTTTAGGAGCCTTTTATTAAAAATAATTCCTTTAACAAGTTAACTCCAAAAAAGCAAATTTGTTTCATAAAAGAGTCGTGTGTTATTTAACATTTTTATGTCCTTTTGATAAACGAAAAAAAAAAAAAATCAATATTTTTGTAGTTTATATACTTTCGTATTTCGAATATTTTCATTTTTAATTTTTATAAAAACAAAAAAAAAAAAACACTTTTTTATAACGAAACATTTATTTTTATAAAAAAATGAAATTCTATTTAACGATTTTCTCTGCTATTGTAGCAGTTTCCGTTTTACTTTTTACCGTTACGCCCATAAATGCTTGCGAAGAATCATGTCGTCAGGGAATTTCGCATGCGTTCGGTGATAATTACTCCATTGAAATCAAGAATCTGTTCAAGACATTTGTCGAAAAGTTGGAAGAAAATGCTTACTTTGGACTTAATTCCGTTAAATCATCAACTAAATCAGCATGTAATAAAGCAATCGAAGAAGGAACCGACAAATTTCAAACCACTTTTTCGAACAGTTTAGCACAATTAATTGAAGGTTCAATTTTCGATCAATCACCACAATTTAAAGGACAATGTCAGCACCCATTAAGGGTAACTCAACCACCTGCAGGCGTTGCATGGACCATGGACGATTGTAATAACCAAGATTACATTTGCGGAAATCCGCCAGCCATTTGCCACTTTATGGATCAGTATGTTAAACCAAGAAATGTAAAGAATGTAATTGAATCAATGACTGAACGTCTAAGTGGTAATGGCACTTTCTATAAATCTCTTACAAAGTCCGTGATTGATGCCTCCAAGAAATCCGGAGTGAAAGGAGATGAACTTAAAACTTTTACAACGGCTGTCAAAGACAATATTTTAAAAACATTCAACATCTTTTCCTCTTACTTCGCTTCTGAATTTTGTAAAGGAACCACATGTGATCATTATGATCATGACATCAAGATGAAACTTCTAAGTTATCCTTAGTTTTAGTTTTACAAAACTTATTTTATTATTGTTAATGTTTTATTTTAATCTTTAAAAATTATTTTAATTTAGAATGTTTCGTGCATCCATTTTTTTTTTGCATTTTCAAACATTATTTTTTTTTCTTTTTTTGCAAAAATAAACATTTACAAGACAATTCTTTTTTCATTTTTTTTTTATTACGAGAATAGAATTGTGATAATCCGCAGCTTTCAGGAAAATTCTAGATAGAAGAAATGTGAAATTTTTATTGGAAAAACTTATTTATTTTTTTTAATTTCTTTAATTTTGTACTTTAGCGTTTCCGTAATTTTTTTTTTTTCAGTAACAAGTTTAATTTTTTAAGATAATGATTGTTTTAATAAATGGTTAATAATGATTTGAGTTCCTAATTACGAATAATTTAATCAAATATCTATCGTGCCCTTTATTTTTTCGCGACGAACTGCGCCTCGTCGTGCCTGAATTCCAAAATAGTTTTACCATTTTTTTGTTTGATCTTGTCTTAATCTTGATATAATATAAAATGCTAAAAAGGAAATGGACAATATAGAATGAAGCAATCGTTCTCGTCAAATCAGTGAAAATGATCGATAGCACAAACTTAATTACATGCATGTACTTGTATATGTTTGGTGGTCAAACAAATTGTACGACAACAGCACAATTGAAGGGAGACCTTTTTTAAAAAAAAGTTCTTCCGATAAAGTTTTTTTAAAACTCGTCTTGAACGACGGAGAATCAAAATATTATGATGATTTTATGTATATGGATGACACAAGCTTTATTCACAATTATTATTGTTAGCATTTTTTTGGGAGAAATATAACATTGGTAACGTGGTAACGTTTAATCATTACTATTACTGTGTATTTGTTGGTCAATGCTTTTCTATTTCTTCATATTGTAAGTTGCTTTCATCGTTTTAAAATAAAAAACACGGGATTAAAGAGTAAATTTATGGAATTTTGTGACGTTGATCCATTTGAAGGGGGGGGGGGGGGGGGGGGGGGGGAAAGAAAAAAAAAACTTATTGGGAAAGGAAGGGCGGGAATCAAAAAACACAAATAGAAATT